TGAGCAGAGTAAGTCTGATTCCCTGTTTGGGCTTCTCTGTTGACACCCACCCCTTGGCGCTCATATGACTTTATGCAGCTGCGAGTGCCGTAAAACCTCTACTTAAACAAAACTACCTGACACAAGGGGCATAACCTCTCACCTCTCCCCTCAGTCGGCCCCTGTGCATTGGACTACACCAAGATGAAGACAACGGATCACTTCTGGACCGATCCACCTGCGGATGAGTTGGTCCAACGGCACCGGATACACTCGGGAGGATTTACCTCCCCTGGCTCACCCAAACGTCAAGGGTTGCAGGTCAGTGAGTGGGTGGTTGGAGGAGTTCATGTGACAGTGACAGTGACAATCATGCATACACACAACAGGACAGGAAGTTAATGACATACACGTTTTATGTGCTGAAACCTTCTCACCCGTCCATCTGGCAGTTTATTTTTTTCTCTGTTTGTCCTCTTGCGATAAAAGTCCAGTTGAGCCCTCCATAGAGAGCTTACTTGACTGACAGAGCACGTTGAGGGTTGCCGCCCTCTGTGGGGCTATCATGGGTCGCGGGGACATCTTGTACGAAAGATTTTTCTTTTACTTATTTCAACAGTGGGTGACCCACGTAGATTTTTACGGCTGGTGGTTGGCGGGTGCTCTGGTGTGGTTTGCTCCTTCTTTCCTATCAACCATCTATTTTCCTTATCTGTCCTCCTTCTTATTTATGTTTTTGTTCTATCTTATAACACCTCTAATCTTCTGCTTTTGTATGACAGAATTTTGTTGCAAGTGCCGTAAAACTTTTCCTTATATAATAATGATAATAAATTGCATTTATATAGCGCATTTCCACAAAGAAGTGCCCAGTGCGCTGGACAATAATACAAAGAACATATGCAGCGCACTGCTCCTGTAGTAATCCTCTTGAAAAATCCCAAATGAAAAAGACTTACCCCTCTTGTCCTTCCTGTAAAACATTGCCGATATTTTTCTTCCCCCTCTCCCCCCCCAGATCCGGCGAGATGCCAGTAACGCCACGGAGGACGCCCGTGACCCAAAGACGTTCCACCTGTCGGCGCGAGAGTACGTGGAGTCGCTGCACCAGAACTCCAAGCTCACGCTGCTCTACGGGAAAAACAACGTCCTCGTGCAACCCGTAATGAAAATAATAAATAATAAATGACATTTCTATAGCGCTCAACCCCGATTAAAGTACACAGGCTCTGAGCGCTTTACAATACAGTACAACGTACAACAGTAACATAAAACGTTGTGTTCTGACCGAAAGAAAATCACTCCAAATATTCATCTTATCAATTTAAAAACAGAAATGATTTCAGCTTACATTTGGAGTCTCGCTTTCTTTTCTGTAAAACTAACCATGCAGCATTGTTATTGGCCTGTCTCTCCTTTTCTGTATTTTGCTTTTGTACATTGATGGTGCAACAGGAAAGTGCGCACTTTTGTACATTGATGGCGCAACAGGAAAGTGCGCACTTTTGTACATTGATGGCGCAA